ACAATGGAAGAACAGGAAGGTGTTTCATAATCCAACCTTCTCACTTTATAAATAAGGAAGATAAGGCTCAGGCATGAGTTCATGCAGTCTCATAAATGGCAGAGTCAGGGTGTTGGGTAAGTCACATTTAATCTGTCTGAGCCTCAGTTTTCTAATCTTTAAAATGAGGATATTAATATTTGCACTACCCACTTCAATAGGATCAAACAAGATGAGAGGTATAAAGCTTTGTAAACACTAAAGCAGGCTGTATAAATGCAAGCTATTATTATTATTCATATCATGCCGCCAGGTTCTCAGAAGCCTGAAGATAATGATAATAGTTAACATTTACACAGTGCTTTAAGGTTTGTGATTTATTTTACATATATTATTTCGTTTGATCCTCACAACAACCCCATGAGGCAGGAGCTATTATTATCCCCATTTTAGAGATAAGGAAACTTGAGGCACAAAGCAGGTTAGGTGACTTCCCTAGGTTCATACAATTAGTGATTATCAGCTAGTAATGATCACAAGGAACTTGGTTTCTAAGATAAAGTTTGAGGAATAGAGGAATCAATTCAGGACCCAATTATTGGGATGGGGTATTAAGTATAGGGCTAGGAGACAATAGATGAGGTAAAACCCTAGTTTCTACAAACAGGCTATGGGGCAGAATGGGACGGGCAAGTAGCAAGACTGATTTGTTCCTGAACTGCCTGACCATCAGTCCTTTCACCTTTTATCTCCCTTGTCTAGCAGTCAGATTGGGCCAACAAAATATGGAGGTGGAGAGGCTGCAGAAGGAAAGAAACAGAAGTAGGGTGCTCATCACATCTAGTGACTATACTCTGATACTTTTTCCGAATTCCTCTTGCATTTACTGTGTGTTCCCATGAGAATTGTCCTGCTCTGCTACTGTTTGTTTTCTCTCCCCAGCTAGAATGTGAATGCCTTTAATAGCAAGACATATATATGCGTGTGTGTGTATGCATATAATCTTGTGTCTTTGCAATAGCATCTCCCATAGTCTTAAGACGTATGATAATTTTTTGTTGTTGTTCTGTCATTTTTCAGTCATGTCCAACTCTCTATGACCCCTTGTGGGGTTTTCTTGGCAAAGATGCTGGAGTGGTTTGCCATTTCCTTCTCCAGCTCATCTTACGGATGAGGAAATTGAGACAAAGTTAAATGACTTGTCCAGGGTCACACAGGTAGTAAGTATCCAAAGTCAGATTTGAACTCACAAAGATGAATCTCCCTGACTCCAGGATCGGCACTCTATCCACTGTGCCACCTAGCTGCCCTATATGCTAATTACCTATTTAAGAATTTTTTAAAAAGGGGAGGGGAAGCAGGGCGAAATGTAGGTGATGTACAACACATCAATAAAAATCTTATTTATGATATTATCTCATACGTGACCAAGTAGAACCAATAACCAAATTAATTAAAATATCTTTCATTAAATATGTATTTGTTTGTGGACCCATTATGCAAGTTGGTATTGGAATGTTCCAGTTAGTCCACATTTTCACCTAATTGAGAAATCTTTTCTACGACATGATTATCCAGCCTTAGTTTGAACACTAATAACTATTGATAACTCACTGCTTTGACCTGCTTCTTTTAATTCCCACCCATGTGTCCAATTTCTGTCCTCTGAAGGAAATATGTCTACTACTCCTACTGATATGTGAAGACGGCTATTGTGTTATCTCCAAAGTTTTCTTTGCTACAGCTTAATCATCATTACTTTCTTCAATTGCTACCCATATCACATGACTTCTTCCCCCCTTACTATTCCAAGTGCCCTTCCCTGGAAGCTTTGTAATTTGTCCATAAAATATAGCCTTCTAGAATTACCTTCCATTTACATTCTATATTATTTTGAATGTTCATAGTTACATGCATATTATCACTTCCGTTAGGATGAAAATGTGAGTTGTTTAACAGAAGGGACTATTTTTTTCCCTTTTTCTGTATTCTTAGCACAGTGCCTGGCACATAAAAAATGCTTAATAAAAGCTTGTCTAGACTGACTATAATGGAACGTGGTACTTCAAATATGGCCCAACATATAGTAAAATTGTTAACTGTCTTGACATGTAGATTCTGTTTTTATGAATGCCGACCAAGACTGGGTTAACTTGTATCACAGCTATAGCAAACTCTAGGTTCAGATTGCACTTACATTTAATTAAAACCTTTAGATCTTTCTCAGATGAAGTACCATCAAGCCACCCTACATTTGTGTGATTGATTTTTTTTTCATCCTAAATGTAGACTTTATGCTTACCCCTGTTATGTTTCATCTTGTTCATTCTGGCCTATCATTCCAACCTGTCAAGAATATTTCGAATACTGATTCAGTCATCCATATGATCAGCTAACCCTTCTAGCTTTGTGTCATTCACAAAACTTGAAAATTGTTTCTTCTATGTCTTCATTCTGATCATTCATTTAAATAGCGAATAATGTTTCCCCCTTTTGACAACTAGAATAACCTTTGTCCATATCTATTCTTCTAGAACTTTGTCTGTTCTCCATGATTTCTCACATAACTACTGACATGGATTTTGCTATTTGACCTTTAACTTGCTTTCTTTGAGCCTTCAGGAAACTCTTTTGAGTTTTCTATGGCATTTCTGAAAGCCTTAGCCTATTTTGGGTTTCAGTCTGATATTATTCTTATAGGTATATGCCACACTTTTGAGGTCATCCTTATTTATGTGTACTTCCTTTCATCTTGTATATTTGTCTGTCATAAAATGGAGCTGATCAGAGACCTCTCTGTGTAGTCACATTGATTTCTTAAGCTGTCTCCCCTTTCCTACTTTATTTAGATTACTCAAAAGTAGATTACTAGAATTTTCTATACCTTTGTTGCTGTTGTTCAATCCTGTCTTACTTTTCGTGACCCCATTGGGGGTTTTCTTGGCAAAGATTTGAGTGGCTTGCCATTTCCTTCTCCAGTTCATTTTACATATGAGGAAACCAAGGCAATCAGGATTAAGTGACTTGCCCAGGGTCATGCAATAGTAAGTGTCTGAGTCTGGATTTGAACTAAGGAAGATGAGTCTTCCTGACTCCAGGCCTGGCACTCTATCCACTGCATCACCTAACTTCTCTTTCCTACAACTACCTATCTACTAAGTCAAATTCATCTTCATAATATCTACCTTTTCTCCAAATTCTTTCATATTTACCTTCCTAAGATAGAGGACACTTTTTAGTCTATTCTAGCATTCCTTTTCTATGCTCCTTTATTCCAAGAAGGCACAGTCACTTTCTCTTATTGTTGTCACATCATTAACTAGTTATTCACTGTCAGAATTAAGTTCAACAACTTTATGTTTCTTTTGTTTCCCTATATTTCTTATGCAAGAAGTGGTCAGAATGAAGCAGTCAGAATTAAGCAGTTTGCCTCATTTTTCACTGGTTGGCATGCATTTTTAAACTCACCCAAATTAATGATATGCTGGCAAATTAGAAAACACTACTTGGGACTCAAATTGGACTAGTTTTAACAGGGGTCTTACATAAATTAGATGGCATTTGGTTTGAGGTGAAGTGGAATATGATAGAGTGAATTCCTTTGACTAAGTGTCATATTTTATAACAAATGGTGAGATGAAATTCCTGATTGCTTTCTCCTCCATGTTTAATTTATACTTCTGCTGTCCTTCTGGTTGGTGTGACAATATTCCTCCTTGCTTTTTCAGATGTAGCTGTCTGCAAGCTAGAATGAGATGTACATGGATAGGAGAGTGCTTGCCCACATAAAAACCAAACTGGAACTATCAGGGCTATATTGTCATTCTCTAAACTTCATGTGATCAGGCCTCCACTAGATTTGATTATTTCAAATACTTATAATTCCATCACCGTGAGTCCTCCATTGATGTGGATCACAACCTTTTCATGCATTAGTAGATGGTCTTTGTGAATTTCTGTGGTTGAGAAAATCATCTCCAAGTAACCAATGCCCTGACAAAGAATCTTGACAAATTTGGATAGGATGGTATTTGGATAATAGACACATAGTATATACAAAAAAGTTATCTAGCTAGGAAAATGCAATTTATCTCCTTTTTCACCCCCACGCACATCCATACTCTTCCCCTCAGAACATACTATCTGCTGAGAAAGGACTGGAGTGGCCACTTAGGAACCTTTGTAAAGCTAAATGACATGGACAATATATAATGACAAAGCATTAACACCTGAAGTTCTTGGGAAATTATTTTTCCCAATAATGTTTGCATATAGATACTTTTGTTGCTAGGAGTCAAGAGTTTACTAAAGTGTAGATGTGGAAAGGAAAGATAAATTTGGTTAAGTCTGAAAGGATGATTTTGTGGAATAATGGTCAAGGCATAATGTTAGGGGAAGGGCAAAAGAAGATCTAAAAACCATCATTTTCTATGTTTCTTATGCAAGAAGTAGTAGACTAAGGGGTTCCTACTGGGAGAACAAAATAGTGTATCCTCATGTAACTTTTCAACTAAAGATTAGATGTTATTTGTCTTTTTATCTATGCCAGTGCTTAGAAGTAAGTGGAAATAGTAGGAACTTAATAAAAACTGAATGAATGAATACTAAGGAGATTTGAGTACTTTTAGAGGAGAAAAATATACACTAACAACTGCTTTGGAAGATGAAAAAATTTTAAATTATTCTGCTGTTAAGCTGGGATAATGTTGGGAATGAAATAGTGAAAGGGACTGTCGTACCTGGGATTTCACTGGACCAGGTAAAGGTGATTAAACTCCCTCTACCAATGCAGTTTAGATCTTCTCTGTGATACAATTTTAGAGAGTCACTCAGAGCATTGAGAAGTTAAGTGACTTGCCCTGGGTCACACAGCCAGTATACATCAGAACTGGACCTGGAAGCCAGATCTTTGTTGGCTTTGACACCAGCTCTCTAACCATTATGACATGCTGACTATCAGGAAAATAAAGGTACTCTTTATCCCAGGGACGATTCCAAGAGAAAATAAACTGAACATTTACCTTCTTATAGGTTTTTTCCTCATTTTGTTTTCCTGATATCGCATCTCCATTTTCAGTGGCAGACATCTAAGAGAGAACATGAAGATGTTCCTATTTAGATTTGTAAGATAAAGCACAATATTGTGGTTTATGCTTTCTTACCCAAAATGTCCATTTTGGTTAGTATTTTTTATTCTAAACAACTGGATCAGATTATATGAAAATACTGAAAAATCTTACTCCCTCTTTCAAAGCTTTTTATTTTTGTAAGTCTTAATTAATAGAAAATCAAATATTTTAACTTGCATATTCTTAGAAATAAAAACGCCATATAAATCCAAAGTGTTTATTATTATTGTAATATATTTCTCCCTACAAAACCATTTCTTTTATTAAAAAAAGGATTTGCAACAGACCTTCTGCTGTGATAAAAATATATATGCATATACATTATATAATTATATATAATTTCCACTGTCATGAAATATATATGCATATATATTGTATATTAATATATAACATCTGTTGTGATGATACATACATACATATATGCAAAATGTATACATACACGTATTTTTATCACAGCAGAGTTATATATATATAGCATTATATAGTCATTTTGCATGACTATATTCTATATTCTGTAATCATTCTGCATGAGCCAAAGTTCAACAACTCTTCTGACTTCGTTATAAGCGTTTAAAACACATTAAGACAAGTTTTTGTGGTTTATACTTCTGCAAACTCAATTTTGAGTCTTCATATGTACCCAAATAAAATGAGGCATAACTGAATCAAGTAGGGTTGAATCCCATCTCCATCACTGACTGGTAATGTAACCATTGGCAAATCAAATAACTTCTGTTCCTCAGTTTCCTTATCTATAAAATAGGAATAATAATACCTTTCTCGTGTGCTGTACAGGTTGTTATGTGGGCAAAATGTTTTGTAAATTATCAAGGGCTTTAATAATAAGGCTCACATTTACATGAGACTTCCTCTTAACAACTTGTGAGAAGGGTTGTCTAAATCTTTTATCCCTGTTTTACTAATTAGGAAACTGAGGCTCTGAAAGGTTAAATGACTTGCCCATCATTACACAGTTAATAAATGACAAAGGTGGGATTAGAAATCAGGTCTTTTGGCTCCAAGTCCAGTGTTCCACCCATCATACCACAAAAGGCTCCTTCTGGGTTGACATATAGACTTATTTGACTATGATCTTTCCAAACAGAATAAAGAGATGTACCACTATTAACCGATCTCTTTTTCCTCTTTCTCTCCTCAGAATGAAATCACTCTTCCTATATGCTCTTCCAAATAAAAAAGCAAACGTTCTTCATATGCATTTTAATTCTTCTATTTTATTTGTATACATTCAATGTATTTATATGAATTAATTTCTAAATGAAAGCATACATTCTATAACTTCCAAGTGCCTAGGGCAATGCTACTTGCTTAGTAATTACTCATTTTTTCAACTAATAATTTCTTTGGTGTCTAGAAAAATGACTTTTTTTTTTTAAGAAGGATAGAACAGGGTCTTTAATGATGACAAAAATACCCACCTCAAAATCTTCCCTGGAGTATAGCAATAGTTCAAAGATATAGGTGACATTTACTGTCTGGAGGAAATGTGGCACATTTAAAGACCACGATAGACTTTAGAATCGATTCAATCAGATTAAATGTTGGTTACATGGGGCAACATATTTTGAAGAATGATTTGCTTATATGTTCTCTACCAAACATATTTAGCAGAAGAGGGAGGTTACCAGTGTTTGAGGGTAGATACTCTAGGAAACGTGTAGGGAAACAATGCTAAAACTTCATCAGAATACTATGGCATGGTGGGATTATATCATATACTGTGGGAGAAAGAATCCACACAAACAGAAGTACAGCTTGACCAAAATATCAAGTCTTTACATTGAGATTGCCAGAGTTTATCAGAAACACTGTTTCAGTCAGTAATAACTAATGAATAGCTTCTGAACTGCTGGGCTAAATGCAAAATACTACTGTATATGGTTCATTTTAACCTTTCTGACCTACACGGTCCTAAACCTGATTGACTGCTATGAAAAACCTTGAGTTTTCATGAGAAGGCCCCTGAAGTGATATTTATTTCAATCACAGGGATCAATTTTATGCTTTCACTTTGAGGTAAGGATAATGGTTCCAATTAATGTAAAAAGCTTCTTAGACCTAGGAACATTTCACATCTCAGGAAAAAAAATACTCAACAGCTGTTCCAAAGGATTCCACTTTTGTGATTTCATTTCTAAGCCTTTGCAGCTTATTAAGCTATAAAATTCCAAAGGGGGACCTGAATCTTATCAGAAGTGGCTAAGGTTTAATGGAAGGTTGATTATCAATGTGAATGAGGACAAATTATGAAAAGGTCCAGAGGTATTTTTCATTAATTTATGCTTCATGTCTGATTCCATAGTGGGGCAGTGAAGAGAATGAAAGAGTAAATTATTATGAAACCATTTCTTTTTTTTTTTTCTATAAGAAGCATGGCACAGTGGAAAGCACACTGGATTCATGATCAAAGGATCTGGGATGGAATCTTCATTCTGCCATTTAACACCTGTGCAACCTTGAACAAGTCAATTTACTGCTCTGCATCTCAGTTTCCTTATTGGAAAAATGATAGGATTGGGCTAGATCAGTGATTCTCAAAGAATGGTAGGAATACCTCTGGGAGTCCCTGAGATTCTTTGAGGGGTCTGAGAGGTCAAAACCATAAGATACCATTGGCCATTTAAATGCTCCTCTCTTTTCCAACTATATATCTGTGTGAGGCTGGGTTTTCTTTATATACTTTAACTGAAACAATATATTATAATAAATTCAATACAGAAGAGATGTAGGACTGTGGCTGCCTTTTATTAAGGCAGATAATAAAGAGATTTGAAAAAAACATGTAAAATGATGCCACTCTTCTCACTACTGGGGTGATACTGTTATTTTAATAAAATTTTATTTATGCTAACATTTAATGGGTTTATCGTAATTTTAAATGAATTAATAAATGTTTAAAAATTGATCATTTTTAATAACCAAATATAAGATGATAAAATATCAAGAATTAAATACACATAAACAAAAGCTTTTTGGAATCTTCAATGATTTTTAGGAGTGTAAAAGAGTTCTGAGACCAAAAAGTTTGAGTTGAGAAATTTTGGATTTTGCTAAATGAGCTCTGGTCCCCCTTTAGCTTTAAACCTATGATCTTATGCTCAGTTGAGCACTTTGATAAGAAAAATCATCAAATGTCTCTTCTGGGATTAAAATATTGCTTTCATATGTGTGCTGTATAACTTTAGTACTCCCATTAAGAAAGGGACCGTTTTGTAAATCTATGCTGAAAAGGCAGTGATTGACCCTTGAGTCATTAGAGTTCCAAAAAGAGGCTGTTGAAACAAATCTTTCAAATCACATTAATATCTTGTACCTAGTAAGTACTGACAGACATTTGTACAACTGAGACATTACTATGACTTTTAAGCTAATGAAAAATTTTGTTATTAAGATACTGTATCCCTTGGGTTTCATTCTTCTAACTAAGATTGCTTCTTTTAAAAATTGGGTATGTGAAAAGTTAGGGGCTAAGAAATGAATGAGCATTTACACTGTAGAAACTTTTGTACTAGACATACCTCCCCCCTCCAAAAAAAAGGTTTTGCACATCTTTCTACTTTATAATAGGCTCTCCAAATGGTGCCTCTGAGATACTTTAAAATGAAAAAAGCTTAAAATGATTTTAGATTTGATGATTGGATTAGAATATTGATTTGGATCCTTTAGAGAGAACTTAAGAAAAAAGAGACAAGAGCTAAATGCAATGGGGCAGAGTTGGCAGTGGTACCGTCTGTATCAAGGAAAGGTACTATCATTGATGAAATCACATATTCAACCAAAGTAACTTGTCTTTATAAAGAGACTTCTAGAGTTTATAGAAAATGTTGGGGCAGCTAGGTGGCAGAGTGGATAGAGCACCAGCCCTGAAGTCAGGAGTGCCTGAGTTCAAATCTGTCCTCAGACCAAACACTTGACACTTACCAGCTGTGTTACCCTGGGCAAGTCACTTAACCCCAATTGCCTAAAACAAACAAATAAACAAAAAGAAAATGTCAGACAAATTTGCATACCTTTGAGAAGTATGTGTCAAGTCATCTGGAGCTGGTAGTGGCAGTTAGCCTAATCATTAGTGTATTTATTTTTCCCTTGCAGCTCCTGTTAAAACAAAAATCATTTGTTAACATATAATCTGACAGACAAGACTTCTAATTAGATGATTATAGTTTTATATATTCATTTTAACATTAAAAGAGCTAAAGTTTGATCAAGGTATTGAGATAATCAGTTAATGATATCACAGTCCAACAGAATGTCTCTTAAATAATCTGATTATTTGTACTTCATGGTACCTGTCTTGTGTTGTACCTAATAGTATTATTGCCCTTTTGTAGTCAATACTGCCTTCTTCCTTTTTTTAATCCCCAAATAGTTTTATATCATAATTAGAAGTTGGTCTGTTCAATGTTATATTGAATACCAAGTTGTTTTTTTCTGACATGAAAGAAATAAATTACAGTTATTAGGAATAGGGATATAGAGTGAACTTGTGATTTCATTGGTAAAGGGAACTCCCAGGAAAGGACACTTCTACCAATGCAAGTCAGAATTGACCTGAACAGAGCAGAGGCATCAAACAGTTGCCTAAATTGGCCAGATCAGATTAAAACGAAATTGGAAAATATTTAAAAAATAAATAAAAATATAGAACACAGATGTTAATATGCCTAGTTGTTACGCATATAGTTTGCTTTGTGTATATTTGTTTGCATGTTGTCTCCCCCATTAGATTATAAACTCCTTGCAGGCAGGGACTGTCTTTTGCCTATTTTTGTATCCCCAGCATTTAGCACAATGTTGGGCACATAGTAGATGCTTAATATTAATTGATTATGCGAGTTTCTAAGTCAGTATGCAACTACAGGGATCCTTATGCATAGTTTAATGGCACCTGTTTTTAGTTGAGTTTGACATTACTGATCTAGAGTACTGACATGAAACCAGTATGAGTCAGATGTGGTACTTGAACCCAAGTCTTCTTGGCTTTGAGACTGGCTCTCTATCCGCTATGACACGTTTACATCACATTTGGCCTGTGCTGCGCGCCGTGTGCCTCATTAAAGGCTTTTGGGAGGCTTGTGAAAGGATTTTGGGTAGCCTGCAAAAAATGCAGAGGATGTAAAATGGGCATGCACAACATACTGTCCCTGAGCTGCTTGGGTGGGCCACCCACGGGCCATATGTTGTGCAGGCCTGCACTATGCCATGGTTTCTTTCCTACATTTAATATAATTTGAAAAACATATTTTATGATTGTATATAGAAAGCACAATAGTTCTGGTCAAGATTGTTTCCATTAAAGATATGTGACACACAAAAAAAGCATAAATAAAAGCATGAGGGGAAAAAAGGAGGAGAAACCTCTTGGTAGAAAGGACAGTGGCTGAGTTTAATTTCTTGCCATTACATCTTTTTTTTTTCTTTTGGTGAGGCAGTCAGGATTCGGTTACTTTCCCAGAGTCATACGGCTAGCAAGTGTAACATATCTGAGGCTGGATTTGAACTCAAGTCCTCCTGACTCCAAGGCCCAGAGCTCTAGCCACCTAGCTGCCACTCCATTACAACTTTTTAAAAAAAAATTTTTTGAGTCCCAAATTCTCTCCTTCCCTCCCTCTCCTACCTCCCTCATTGAGAAGGCAAGCAATTTGATACAAGTTATACATGTACAATGACACAAAACACATTTCCATGTTAGTCATGTTGTAAAAAAAAAACGCAAAGAAAATAAAGAAAAATAAAGAAAGTAAAGAAAAAGTACGCTTTGATCTGCATTCGGACTCTATCGGTTCTTTCTCTGGAGATGGATAACATTTTTTCATCACAAGTCCTTGAGAACTGTCTTAGAGAGAATTGCTAAGTCATTCAAAGTTGAACATCATACAATATTGCTGTTACTGTATACAATGTTCTGGTTCTGCTCATTTTACTTTGAATCAGTTCATGCAAGTCTTTCCAAGTTTTTCTGAGAGCATCTTAGTCATCATTTCTTATAGCACAATATGATTCCATGACAATCACACAACAACCTGTTCAGTCATTCCCCAATTGATGGACATCCCCTCAACTTCCAATTCTTTGCCACCACTAAAAGAGCTGCTATGCAGAGTTTTGTATATAGGTCTTTTTCCTTTTTATTTTTTTAATGTCTTTGGGACCTAGTAGTAGTATTCTTGCCATTACATCTTACAGACTCATTCAACATTACATTTATTCTGTTTTTGGTATACAACAAGATCCAATTTATACCATTTAAAATGTTTTTTACTTTCATATCGTATACATTTTAAGACATTTTATGAACTTCTCCCCCTTTTGCCCTTCTCCTCCTTTTTTGTCAATGACAAGTAAGCAAAAACATCCAATACAATGACCATATCTGAAAATATACACGATATTGTCCCCTAGTATTCCCCTTGCTCTACCAGGAGGAAGGAGAAACATTTCATTAATTATTCTCCAGGACTATTAGCACCAATTCACACATATTTCCCCACATTTTTATGAATTCTTTATATTCATCATGTCTTATTGCTCAGCATTATTTCAATACATTCCTATGCCAAAAAGAATTTTTAGATATTCCCCAATCAATGGACCTTCACTTTGTTTCCAGTACTTTGATACCACAATGTAGGCTACCGTGAATATTTTGGCATACATTAGGTTTTTTGTTTGTCTTAGACCTCCTGGGACTTGTAACTCTTTAAATCATAATATTTGTATAATCTTTATCTATCTGTTCCCCATCAATTAGGTATTTTATACTTTAGAAATTTAATTTTGTCATATTTGTGTGCTTATTTTAATTGGTGAATAAAATCTATAAACTGGCAAGTCATCTAAATAGTATAAAATCTACTAATTTTGATGTAAAGAGATAAATGTTATTTTATAATTCTACAATTTTAATTGAGCCAAATACTTTAACAAGTGACTTTAAAGAAATTACTTCCCCCCCAAACACTTGTTGACTTATGATCAACTAATAAAACAAGAAATTAACTCATTATTAATATAATGATCATGTTTTATGTCTCTATAGTGCTTTATGGTTACAAATGAATTTCTATTAGATTTTTTTTATTCATTTAGTCTCATTTTAGTCCCAAAAGAATCTTGTGAACCACATATTAATTGCTCATATTTTGTAAATGAAGAAACTGAGGTATAGAGTAGTTAATTAAGTGATTTGCCCATGGTTTTACAGCTAATAAGCAACCAGAACCAGATTTCAAACCCTGGTATTCAATGTATTAAAAATATATTTAATCCTCCTTATCCCCCAAATGTAACCTCGAGCTCAGGTTAAACTACTGAATCACCTCTTAGAAAACATATTTAGTCAGTACTATTATTATTTTAATTTGCCTACTCAGATCTTAGTAATGTGTGGAGCAATTCAACTGAATCCAACACAGTATTTATTAAGCACTGTCCCTGGTTCTGGAAATGTAAGAACAAACATGAAAAATAGCTCCTGTTCTCAAGAAGTCTAAACTTTACATGATACGATGTGTCAGTGCTCCAGCAGTGGGTCAAAGAATGATGACAATCATCTGATTATAATATGTGAAATCATACAGGTTGAACATGTAACATAGAAATGAAGCTCTATATTGCAATGAAGGCTAATTTATAAAAAGAAAACTAAAGGTAAAAATGATTTATAATCTTTCATAATTTTTACCACATTTAAAAAGAAAGATTTTCATGCTTTTTGCCAGAATATAAAACAAAAAGGCCAAATCCTTCATTTCATTTCATACAAGTAGAAAACCCCGGAGCTACCATGTACACAGTAGTCAAAAAACATGGTAACAGTGATTAAAGGGGGCAGATGCAGCCCTTGTATTCATCCTGTAGCCAATTTTTAAAATGTCTATTTTTGAGGGCATAGAAGTTTTATTAAATGCACTTAATATATATATATATATATATATATATATATATATATATATATATATATATATATATATATATATATATATATATATTTTATTTGCACAATGAAACCCAGACTGGGTACACATTACAAATGTCTAGACACATCATATGCCATTTCTTCACAATACCTTAAACTCTAAGTCCTGCATATATTCACATTAATTTAAGTTCTGTTGCCACTGACAAAAATAATTTAAAGTCAGGTCCATTTTGAGTGTCCCATATTTTAAAAAATGAAGCCCAACTTCTGAAACCAATTCCAACCTAAGATGGATGGCACCCGTCCAATATGAATCCAGGGGGGAATACTAATCAAAACAAATTGCAAGATGCGACGCTCACATTTTTTCATAAAACACTTTCATCAGTTCTTAAACTGGCTCTTCCAAACTGAATAAAACAGATAAGCTGGCATCACATGTAGACAGTACCAAGCACACAGTAGGCACTACACAAATGTTCAATGAAATCAAATAGCTATAAATGGAAATAAAAGGCTCTAAAAATGTAGCAGTCATAATTCATTTTCCCAATAAAAGTTGTACTATAAAAACTTTAAGCCTTTTTAAAATGGAGCATTCACTGTGCATATTAGATAGTGAAAAGTATTCTCTAAAAACAACTGAACAATTTATTGCTTTCAATATAGTGTAATTCACATTTTTTTTCCATGAAAATGCCATTATTGTACCATTCTCTCCTGGCTCAATTTTAATTTTAAACACACAATAGCAGAAACTGTGAATAGAAAGAAGCTCACGACCATGAAAAGAAACACACATGTATGATTACACTTCTCAGACTCTCCATTTGGCAGTTGTTAAAATATCCATGCCAACTGAAACAATATCACTGCTTTTTAATGTCTTCTCATAAACATGTGAGTAATCACCGCAAAATTCAGTCCAATGGTTGGCTATTTTGTCCACAGCCTACCAAAGATCCAAATGTTTGGTTTAAGTCTACAGGTTTTATCCAGATATTTATTACTGTACAGATTAAATTACATTTTAAACTTCTCATTAAAAAATAACCTGGATTATTCCTTTTCAGTGTCTTTCTTTAAATGTACTTCATTTTTAGTTTCAAGAATCTCAGGAAAGCACATTAATAATTATAGTACTTGATTATAAACCTTATGCATATGAAGACAG